TGCAGGCTGATTTTTGGGTGACTGCTTACCAATTTATCGTCTCTTAACCCTCGGAAATCCTCGGACATATCCTTATGGAGAATTGTCTTTTTTAATTTTTCGGTGCCATTGTGGATATGCATTCCTATGTTTTCTGTTACTTTTTACATATTATAACTATTATTAATTTTTATTAACTATAACTCTTTTATTAATAATAAAGATACATAAATTTGCTTGTTATCATTATATTTCTTAATGTCTGGCGTTTTGATTGAAAAAAATTTATTATATGTTTATTTTTATACTTTATTTTTACACAACATCTAATGTGTTGCTCCTATGATTATTTAAATGTATATGGTAACACCAAAGAGTTCCGTATTCTATTAGATAATCAAAAAGTCACTAAATCGCGTATAAATATAGTGCATGAAACAATAGAAAAAAAAGCAACAGTGAGTTTTTGAGTTTGATTTTTGTTATCCTTGCGATGTTGGATATAAATAATTAGAAAATTAACGAATATATTCATCGAATCTCAAGTGAGACCCGACCATCCAAAGATTAATTGCACAAAGAGCCGAGCATCTCGCTAAGGAGCAGATAATTTAGTCGGCTGACCAAACGCGATATCGCCGCGGGCATTAACATTCGCTTATTCGCCACATTAGCGCAGTCGATTTCATTGAATTTCATGGAGTTGTCCCGGATTCTTAGCTTCAATCGATTTCTCTTCGCGTCCTCGTCGCGCACGTTTTAACAACGGATAGATTCCCAGCAAAGCGGTTTACATTCCGACGTTTTTGCAGGGAAGAAAAACGAAGGCTTTCATCGTGGGGGGATAATGCTGGCTGGCGAATATCGCGAGTCCACCGATTGGCTTCGGCCAGACGCATCTCGCGAATCGGTGCGACAACACGTATAAGAAATGGGAAACGGGCGCAGTGTGCTCCGGTTGTTGGAAATTTCTATCGAGTCGCAGCGATATGCAGAACGCGGAGGAAGGATCGTGATGCTTGCCGATGCGCCAATCGATACACAGAAAACAGGTACGGAGGTTGAAATGCTTTTTACGATGGTTTTCCATTTGCGGTTCCCGCGGTTGTGGATAAATCTCCATTGAGACACAATTGCGCGCTACGGAACATCCCTGACAGTCCAATATATTCAAATATGCATTTGGATTTATGCGCCGGTTTCCCCTGAGTACCTCCAATACTCCATAGCCATATATGTCACATAATGCGTGACGATAATTAACTCGTTGATTACACGAAATCTATTATATATTTCGTCACATACTTTTTTCCTAATTATTTACTAAGAATCACTATTAATCATTTATATTCGTATAAATAATTAATAGTAATTCTTTCTCATAAAATGTAATAATGTACATATACGCACATAACGTAAGACAATATTCATCCCCTTCTAGACTTATTGTTAGTCAAGCAAGTTTAGAAGATGTCTATCCTGTTTTACTACAAGAATCATATACATATGTAAATTATATATCGTGAAACATTGTATATCGTGAACCCCCTCCCCCATACACATATATATATTTTTTAAATTTACTTTACTAGATCTAGGAGACAAATCATTGTCCACGGGTGTATATACATATAATATATATCTCGTATACGGTACCAGTCAGAAGTATTGCATCACTTATAAAAACAGGGAAGTCGGTACTTTAATGAAGAAATATGTATAAATATTTTATTTAATACTGTTATTTTATAGTTTAAAGAAAAAAAACAAAAAACTTAATAATTTATTTGCGTTTTCTATATTTTTGAGTGATACAATACTTTTAAGCGATACTGTGTGTAATATATTATAAATGTATTATAATACATATACATACATTTATTATATATTATATATACACGGAATCTTATTTTAAAATTTACCCTGAAAATCACGTTAATCGTAGAACAACATAGTATTTCGACGAATTTTATGTGTTTTCACTGTTTTTTTAAATATATACTACAACATATTTATTGTAGTGCACAATTAAATTTGTTAAAATATTATGTTGTCTCACGATTAACATAATTTTTAGGATAAATTTTAAAAGGAAATTCTCTCCGTGTATAATTAATTATATATATACATATATAATTACCTTTGGGGTAACCTAAAGATATTAATCGATTTCGATGAAATTTTACCCAAACTATATTAAGATTCATAGTTAACTTTTGGGGGGTATTACTAATCGATTTAAAAAAAATTTTTTCGGCCCACCCTAATATATATATATTTATCATGTACATATATTTACTATATGAAATAAAAATATGTAAGATATGCGAGATTCACTCAATGCGCCCGTCAACGCGTCAGTCGAGTTCTCTTTTATCTATCTTTGCAGTTAAATACTTCTCTTGTACAGTCTTTCGCATAGCAATACGGTATACACGATGTATCTGTCAGAGACCATTAGGATAACAGCTACGAGTACGTTCAATCTCGCCTCGCCACAGCAGTCACTCCTCTTTTATTGAATCTACATTTGCCAATACCGTCACGTTCGAGTCGACCTTATTGTTATTTGTTACGATAGTCGTATTCTTTGAAGAGGACTCTGCTCCGCGGTAGAAACTAGACTTTGCGAAACGCGTCCTGGGATAAGCGGATTATTTTAAGAAACGGAAGGTAAAAGACAGAAAGAGAGAATCACGCCAAGGAACAGAAACTTCAATATAATATTATACAAATACGCCGGATATCGAATAAGATGTTCGTATGAAGTACAGTTGAAAGTTAGCCTTGGATATGCAATTAATAGATGACAGGATGTCACAGTCACTGAATATGTCACACCAAATAAAAGATAGGGGAAGTCGAGATATTCGGATAGACTTCCTATCGAATATTATAAACAAAAATTATTTGAGGAATAAATGCAAACATTAAAACTTCCGTATGTTATCTAACTGCGAGTTGTATGGTAATTAATAAACATCTACTTAATAAGCGTGTAAAAATCGATAAAAAAAAAATATTGACCTGTCAGTTCAAATGACAATCATTCAATAAAAAAATTCTGTCCTTGCGATATCCTCTTGATTTCTAGAGGACTTTCCTCTGAAATTCGGCCTCAAGATGATACTCTAAAATGTAGAGAAATATCGTATAATTCTTTATCATAGTCTTGATCATAGTACATGCGTCTATTTTTTATAGTTGAATATGCTTTGTGTAAGATTTTTCATAGAGGAAATATTAAGAATTCTTAACTTATTAGTAGAACATTTTTTTGGGGTGATATAATTTGTAGCGAAATTTCAGAAGAACCATCGGCAACGATTACCGAATCTCCTCTCACAGTCATCCAACCGATTTTCCTTCATCTTCGATGGCCGTTCAAACACAGGCCGGAGGAAAGCTCATTCGTCTTCATTCGCAAACCCGATTACCCGCCATTCAAGTAAACTGAATAGTATCCACGGATGTATAATATCGCGTATGACACTTTCCATCGTCCTTATTCTGTATTCGAGCAATTCAAACGATATATGTATATTTGTCAGTACATTCAACCATGCACTATCATCGCGCTTCAGCCGTCGGTGTCGGTCGCTTAGACAAACCGATCGTTCAATGAGACTCCTAATGTCAGTAGGGAATAATGGAGAACTGACATGAGTTAAATTCGCGGTGTCACTTCGTGCGATTAATTTAATCCTTCCTTGCGTTTCTGACGTTTGTGTAAGAAAAGTCAAGCTTGCGACAACATGCAACATTTTGCTATTAACGCCATTCGTAAAAGTGAAATATTTTATCAAAATGTAATAATCAATTCAAAATACAAAAATCGTGTAAAAATAAAATCTTAATTATTTAAAGGTATTATTATAAATATACATATGATTTACATATCTGCGAAAGTGATAAATTCTTTACATCTAACAATTTTACACAGGACTTTCGCAAAAGAAATAATGCATTTAGTTACATTTGACATCGTTCATTTCCTCTTCCTTCATTAGAACTGCACACAATTCTGACCGCCCCTGTTATCGGGTACGTTTGGCCATCTAGTCATCCATCTGGCATATCCTGTGTCTTTTATGGGCACATCCGTGATGGTAACCTAGTCACCTTCTTCATAAAGATCGTGAAAACCGACCCAAGTCATATCTGCACTTTTCTCTCGTAGTATACCCGAAAGAACTTTTCCCATGGAATCCGAATTGTTAATAACCAAATGACCTAATCACGTATGAAATACGTTGAGAAATCATCTGCTCGACATTCGTACGTTATTATCGTTATTACGTTAATTTCTTTGATACAGGCGACGTGTTAAGCTAATCATACAAATACACATAACATGTCCATTAATAACTAATGATTGCTCAAGACACACACACACACATACCACACACACACACACACACACACACACACACACACACACACACACACACACACACACATTGTATATATAATTTTTTTTTATAAATTATATAATATAAGTATGTTTAGTGTATTAAAGGATAAAAATTTTGCAGATACCGCATTTATATCTGGCTAAATGTAAGTATTATATTTATGATACCGTGACAATATTTATTAGATATCGTCTGTGTTTGTCTAATTAAGGACTTTTACTGCCAGAATCATCCGTTTCAACGTTTTTTGCAATCTGATCTTACTTTTTTTTTCTGGCAACTTTATCACATCATAGAAGCATGATATCTCACGATATTTTCCCAATGTGACATTTCCGCATTTCTTTGTCGCGCATGACACATGCACATGCATGTCAAAGTTTAAGGCCTCTTATAGGTATTCGAGGTGATTTGGCTGATATAAGTATGAGCTACGGGATAAACAATTTTATTTCAAAGTTTATACTTATTTATAAGAATATTGTTAGTAAGAAACTAAGAACTAGCTGTTGTTATACGCATATTATCTTCTCTTTTTTGCTTATTTGTCTACGTTTTATTGTATGTATGTATCCGGCTTTTTCTCGGAAAAGAAATGGAAAAAGAATTAAGTAGATTGTTTATTTACATATTATTTACAAATTACTTCTGTTTCATCACCGCAAATTTTTGAGTTTAATTCTCTAATTTTTTTTACTTTGTACTATTTTACGGAAATTGTAATTACGCTCAATTTTAAAAAGCTTTGGTAATATCAGTCCTTTTTTTTCATCTTTATCATCAGTTCAATTCTCGTTGATGGTAAATCCAAATCATCTTCTTCAACCTTTTTCGTAGATTGTTCTTTGCCAGGTTGGTTCAATCAAGCGGTTTTCGGTTCCCTTTCTATGTCCATCTCATAATCGTTTGCCTCATCCTCAGCAACCTCTTTGGGATTCTGCGGGCTGGAAATCTCTTTGACCGTTTTATCGCATTTCTAGACCTATACTGTGGTTCACAGTGCAAACACTGTGAGCGATTATAACGCTAGATTCTAATTATTTCGCCTAACAAGGAGTAATTATGCAGAGATAAAAATAATTCTATTGATCGTAAGAAACGATGCGTTTCGTATTGGAGAAACTTAAACTATAAAGATATATCATATTATGGACATCCTTTTCTCTATTTGCATTTAGCTTTCCCTCTAAAGTTTTCTCTAAACTATTGATTAAACATTTTAACATTCAGTCGCTTTCAAAAATCGAAATAGCCTGAAATTTCGTTCTTTCTCTGTTGCTCTCTTATTTTTTATCAGACTGCAATTTTTTTAAATTGTAGTTGATAAAATTTTCGTATACACTCAAGATTTTTTAATAATTTTTGATAAAATATTATATCGCAAATTGTATGTTATCGCGGATTGTCTGCCTGACAATTACCTGCTGTCTTCTACGTCCTTTACTACGAAATCTGCTTTTTCTTTTTCTCCTCCTTCTGCTTCTACGACGCGTTCTGGATCCGCTTTTCAATCTTTGACTTCGT